TTATTTAATTCATGCTTGAATAAATAAATAAATAAAATATATCCATCCATCCATCTACCTACCATCTCTCATATCTATCACTATCCATCTATCCTTTCCTGTCCTAATATTCCCTTGTTTGCATTCATTTCACATATTCATAATCATGCCTATCCTTATATCTGTTATCTAATTCATATTTGATGAAAATAAAATATATCCATCCATCCATCTACCTACCATCTCTCATATCTATCACTATCCATCTATCCTTTCCTGTCCTAATATTCCCTTGTTTGCATTCATTTCACATATTCATAATCATGCCTATCCTTATATCTGTTATCTAATTCGTATTTGATGAAAATAAATAAAATATCTATATCCATCTACCATCTCTTTCAGATCTATTCTGTCTGTCTGTTTATATCCATCCATCCCTCTCCTAATGTTCCCTTGTATTCCCATTCATTTCATGCATTCATAATCATGTTTTTACTTAACATCTGTTACATGCTTGATAAAATAAATAAAATACATAAAAATAAATATACACATCACATTTCAATGAAAATGCATGGGATAAAAATATAAAACCCCAAATATAAAGGTGTTTATAAGTATAACCTATTGTCATTGTACTTAAATACAACGAAATTGGTTTTAAACTCACTGGTGCAAAATTATAACAGAGACGAAAAAAGAAAGGGGGAAAAAACAACTAGCGTGTGCATGGAGTGATTTATCGATTTGGGCTCCAGATGTACTTTAATTTCATTTCTCACAACCAGGAAAGTCTTCATTGTGGGTTCTGCTTTTGACAATTTATGTTGGATGCTTTGAGTGAGTGAGTGTGTGAGAGAGAGAGAGTGGGAGGGGGGTAATTATATATATTTGCAACAGATATGTCACAAATGCGTAACGTTATGCACACGTGAAACAGACTCGCGTCAGGCTCCATCTTCGGCAGGGCGGAGGGAGGGGGAGGTAAAGGATACGTCGCGCGCGAGGAGCCCGGCGCTCATGAATATTTACGAGGAGGCGTGGCCACCCGCCCGACGCAGGGGCGCGCTCCGCCATGGCCGCTCATGAATATGGAGCAGGGGGCGTGGGCGGTTCCGCCCCCCCTCCCGCCCTCCTCCCGCCGGGAGAAGATGGCGGCGGCGGTGGGGCCGGTCGGGCAGGCCGCGGGCTCGTCGGTTCCGCAGCTACGACGAGGCCGAGGTCGTCGTCGCCGGGACGAGGCCGTCCCCGCAGATGACGACGGAGACCCCCCGGAGAGCCCTGCGCGGCGCTCGGGCCAGCGGGAGGGCCCCGCCGGAGACCCGGGCCCTCCGCGAGGTGCGTGGCCGACGTAACGTGCGAACGGACGCGCGTCGACGTGGCGGCGGGGGGGGAGGGAGGGAGAGGGAGGAAAAGAGCGGGAAGCGCGCCCATTGGCTGCTTTGGAAATGGGGCGTGGCGGCCGGGCTGGCGTGAAGGCGGGCCTCGAGGCCTCGGGCCTTTCCCGTCACTCGCGCCCGTCCTGCGGTCACAAGCGGGCGGAGGGGGAATCCGCCGGCATCCGCGCGTCCCTCGAAGGCTCGTGGGGATGCCACGGCGGTATTCGGCGGATTTGTTTGCCGCCGAGCCCGCGTTCGCTTGGGAAGGCAGCGGTGGTCGTGTGAATGCGCGCTGGCTGCCCNGAAGCAATGGGTGGGAACTAATCAAGGAGAGAAGCAACTTAGAACTAAGGAGAAATTAACCAGTGGAACAACTTGCCTCCAGAAGTTGTGAATGGTCCAACACTGGAAGTTTTAAAGAAGAGATTGTATTGCCATTTGTCTGAAGTGGTGTAGGGTTTCCTGCATAAAAGCAGGGGGTTGGGCTAGAAGACCTCCAAGGTCCCTTCCAACTTTTTTTTATTCTGCCCTGTGCTGAATGCCACTCAGTGTTGCTGACTTAACGCAGTGAGACAGTTTCAGATCCAGAACATACTTTGTGGCTACTTCCTGACCAAAACAGAATTGCCCAGTAAAAGTGGGCTGGACAATCTTTACCCCAATGTTTCTTTGGCATTCATTAAGGGCATCGCTCAGTGTGAGGAAGCAGGGAAGGGATCAATACACCCAAAAGCCATATCCTGCTCCTCAGCCGGAGACGCTCACAGAGTCCTTTGTTGACACGCAGAAGGAAAGGAGAGACAGCTGAAGTCCCACATGTGGCAGCAAGTCAAATGTAGAAACTTGTTCCTTCTTGCAGACTCTTCCTCACTGGCAACGTCTGAAGACACCCCTCCTGTGCCAGCTCAGAAGCCTCGGACTCAGCCGGCACCTAAACCCACGGAGGTAAATATGCCTAAGCACCGGCGTGTGGGTGTGAGAGAGGAGGGAAAGAGGAAGAAAAGGGGAAAGGAAGAAAAATGTGGGTGAGACAGAAAGGAAGGAGAGCGAGAGGAGAGGATGCTGTTGTAGATTTGCCATTCTCCCACAGTGACCGACGATTGTGCTTGGCTTCCTTTTTTTAATAAAAACTTTTTTATCCAATAAACATTAGACTTTGCTTGTTGAGTTTGGTCAAATAGGGCAGCAGGGTCTCCTCACTCTCTCTCTTTCTGCTGCCCCCTTTCAGGCTTCCGTGGGAGTGAAGAGACGCAAGCGGAAACGGGTCTTGAAATCCAGAACTTTTGTGGACGACGAAGGCTGCATCGGTAGGTAGCTCATGGGGTTCCGGGCACAATAAATCTCAGTGCCGTTGTAACTACGAACGGTCACTAAACAAACTTTTGTAAGTCAAGGACTACCTGCACAGCATTGTTTGCTACGGTGCTACAAACGACCCCTAATCCTCCTTTTCCTTAAACTAAACATCCCCAATTCCTGCAAGAGCCTCAAAAGAGCCAAGGTGGCACAGTGGTTAGGGTGCAGCACTGCAGGCCACTTCAGCTGACTGTTATCTGCAGTTCGGCGGTTCTAATCTCACCGGCTGAAGGTTGACTCAGCCTTCCATCCGTCGGAGGTGGGCGTGATGAGGGCCCGGATT